ACTCGAGCTGAGCCTCAAAACCAGCTGCGGAACGGGAGGCATCGACTCTGGCGAGAAAGTTCCCCATGACTCCGCAAGTGCATGAAGGCTGGCATGCATAGGACGACACAGTATCGAACGGTTTTTGAACGAATTCCAGAAACCTGGCGCCAGTGTTACGGTGGACACTCTCCTCCCTCTGGTGGAGCGAATCGAACGAGGGTCTGTTCGGCCGCCACGGCCGCTAGCGCTGCACACGGCAGACCCTTCTGGCCTGGGCAGGGCGAACAACGAGGGCCGTAACGGCCCCCTCGACGTGCGACCACTACGCCACGCGACATACGAGCGGGATAGATCTATACACACATATATCCGCCGGCCCCCTTGTGGGGCCACCAGGCTGCGAGGCGCGTGATTCGCAGTTTCCTGTACCAGTTGTAGTTTCTAGTTTCCAGTGTTACAGTTCTGCTTCTTGCTGGTTGCTGTAACTAGTTGACTTCTTGCTGGTTACTGTAACTAGTTGATTGACCGCGCGAGGGGGGGGGAGGCCCAAACGGGATTTTTAGCACCCCCTGGGCGCGTTGTCTGAATTGCTGGGGGGGCTCGAAAATCGACACCCCTCACACAGATCCGCGGGGTCAGGGTCCAAAAACACAGGGGATTTGCCACATTTCTGAAATTCGGTGCCACCCCTCACGCAGATCCGCGGGGTCAGGGTCCAAAAACACAGGGGATTTGCCACATTTCTGAAATTCGGTGACCCCTCACGCAGATCCGCGGGTCAGGGTCCAAAAACACAGGGAATGCCACATTTCTGAAATTCGGTGCCACCCCTCACGCAGATCCGCGGGGTCCAGGGTCCAAACACAGGGGATGTGCCACATTTCTTAAATTCGGCGCCACCCCTTCACGCAGATCCGCGGGGTCAGGGTCCAAAAACACAGGGAGTGTTCAAACAACAACAGGGGATTTGAAATTCGGTGCCACCCTTCACGCACATCCATCGCAAGGCGTGGTAACCCAAACTGCGAGAACTCCCTCGGCCCTTTAATCGCAAGGTGTGGTAACCAAGCCCGTAAACCATACACGTCTTACCAATCGCCAGGTGTGGTAACCCCTCTTGTGATCAGTTGGTTTTGCTGATTGCGAATCGGCTTCGCATGAAGTGTCGATACTGCTTCACAACAGCGCCAAGGCCTCATGACTTAGCTCTTCCATGGCCCATTCTCCGAGAGAGGGGGCCGGCGGCAGGGGGCGAAGCCCTTACGGATATATACATGTATATAGAGCAAGAGAGAGAGAGAGAGAGAGAGAGAGAGAGAGAGAGAGAGAGAGAGAGAGAGGGATTCAGCGGCGAGCAAGAGGGGGGAAGTGAGAAGGAGAAGGCCTTCTCAGAAGGCGGCGGGTCTGCTCAGAAGCTCTCTTGCCTTCTGAAAGGTTTTCTGAGTCTTCGGGGAAGGCTTAGGAATCTTCTCAGAAGGACGGGGGACTTCCGAGCCTTCTGAGAAGGCCCGCCCCCTCTCATTTCCCCCCCGGGTTGGGCGCAGAGAGAGAGAGAGAGAGAGAGAGAGAGAGAGCGAGGCGCAGAACAATAACCGCCACGAAATGGCCGAGCCAAGCTGCAGAGCAGCCGTTTGGCGGTGGGGCGCGACGTAGGCGTCCGGGAGGAGCAGGGTCAGCTGGAGATTCATGTCCTTAGTGAGGGGATACGCTAGGGGGGGAACCAGTTCACGGAGGGGAACTATCGAGCTGGAATTGGCGATGCATCGCCGAAATGGGGAGCCCACAAGGGACGTGTAGACGCCTAACCACGTACATGAACACGGCCCAACAATCCACGAGACCAGCGTCACGATACGAACGCTCGCGCAACGCGCACTCTCGACGCCGACGTGGATTCATGGCACGCGTGCGTCATTCTTTGGCTCCTGACCGTAGGCCCCGACAGCGAGACCTCAAGCTCCCTGGAAGGGTGTGCTGTGGAACCCCATGTCGGCAATGACTGCGATGATTGGGCGATCGGGTGTCGCTGCGTTCCGCGCAGAGTAGTTCCGCCTCCCCCGTCACTCTCGGGGGCCACCAGGAGCCCCCGTCACTCTCGGGGGCCCATCCCTCCCTAACGCAGAATTTTGCCCTGAGCCCATCCCTCCCGCCCGCGGACGGAGATCGTCCTGAGCCCATCCCCTCCTAACGCAGTTCTTCTGTCCCGGCGCCGTGTTGAAGAGAAGAGGAGGAGGAGGACGAGGCGAAGGTCGGCTGCGCGCCTGGGGGGGGAGGTGAGAAGGAGCAAGCCTTCTCGGAAGGCGGCGGGGCCTCTCAGAAGCCCTCCAGCCTTCTGAGAGGTTTCCTCGGCCTTCGGGGACGACAAAGAAACTTCTCAAAAGCCGCGGCCACGACGCCGAGAAAGGAGAGGGCGCAACAATCAACAATCACAGTGTCGATCCAATATTCACTCTGTGCACCCCTCCCCCTCCCCCTCCCCTCCCCCTCCCTCTCCCGCCCCCCTCCGCCTCCTCCTCTTCTTCCTCCTCCTCCT